TTGTCCATGTTCAAAGTTAATATGGGTTAATGTGTTGTTCAGTGTTTATAAATGTTAGTTACTGATTTATTACATTTCATTATGTAGCTATTTTCTCTAATTAGAATTCATTTTCAGAATGAAACTACTCCGATGGTAATAGTCACTCAAATGATTTGCGAGTTACTCGGAATATACAACTGCGCAACCAGGACTACGCGTGACTCATAATAAATGTTACAAACTTCTAGGACACGTAGGTGAGTCAGATATGACCACTTTCTCCCGGTGAACATGTGATAGAAGATTTCATATAACAATGTTATACACGTGTCCTATTCCCCTGATAGGTAGGCAATCCTGGTGTTTGACGGTTCAAGTTCTAACGCAATTGGAGATATTTCGTATACGCGCCGAATACAATTTCATGAGAGGTTACAAACCAATCAGGGGAAAATGTCGGTGTAACTTAGTTATATGAAATTTCCTTTCACATCATCGGCCAAAAGTGAATGTCTCCGACCCTATACATGCCGTCGAAGATTGTAACGTTTATTCTAAGACACCCTGCATAGACTCGCGGATACCATTCGCGAACGTGAAATGCGTCATAACGAAATCGGGGAAGTTTTGCTTGAGCAAATGCAGACGCTCCATAGGGGGCCAATGTAGGGTATTGGACGGCGAGCATTTGAAGACGTTGGGGGCTTGGGGCGTGTTGCAGCCGCCGGCCACTCGCTGGTTCGGCGCGCAGACGGGCTTGCGGGCACCACCTGGCGGGGCTGCCTCGCGAGCGCGGCGCTGGCGGCCTTCGCCATGCTCGGAGCTGCGCCGCCTCCCCGCGTCGACCACCGCGCGCCGCGCACCACGTCGACGGCGGCGGGGCTCGGACGCGGCGGCGCCGTTCCCGGGACTGTTGTAGCCGCGCCGCCTCCATGCCGCTCCGGCCCGGCCCCAGCCGTCTCCGCGCCCGGCGCGCCTGCGGGTGGCGGCGGGTGGCGGCGCGGGGGGTGGCGGGGGCGGCGGCGGCGGGGGCGGCGCGTTCGCGCGGGCCCGCCCGGCCCCGTCCCCGGCCACACCCCCTGCGTGCGGCCGGCGGCGGCTTGCCGCCGCCGCCTACGGCAGCCTGGGCACGCTCAGCGTTGCCGCAGCCAGCCGCCAGCCTCGGCATTAATCCGGGGCAGTAAGGTACGCGTGGTAGCGCCGGGTGGCGGGCTGGCGCCTCCCCGCGCCCCGCCGCCCCGGCTGGCTGGACCTATACACCCCAGGGGCGGAGACATTGGGCGCGTAGCATGGGCGACGTAATGGCCCGATGCCTTAACTCTCCCCACCCCCCTGCCCTCACGCTGCGGAGGAGGTCGAGTGAGTTTGGACGCGGAAAGATTTTACGGGAATTCCCGTCCCCCTTCTCCTACGCGAAGTAATTCCTATTCTTCTAGAATCTTCATGCGTGGACATGAGAAGACCTTCCCATCAGGTCACAAGCAATGATTAATGAATGAACTTCATTTTTTAAAATCTGGTGGCGTCCATTTTATTGGATTCTGTATCGGTTTTCCTTACCGAGAACAAATGTCAAATGTGCGATGATTATTTAGAAATGCTCTCATTTGCTTATTTTGTGAGAGTTGTTACGAAACATGTTTGTTTTAAAACTCTCCATATAAGCGCCGTTAAAAGCTGATAGTTGATCAAATTTGCGCGTCAAGTTTGATTTTTATTTGCAGTGTTGAAGTTCAATTATAGGTGAGGCGGGGAAAAAGTTATCACATCACCAAGTCCCTCAGAAGTTCCCACGCTACTTCGCCTGTTGTCTCCGTCCATTTAGCCTGCATAAAATAACGGCGAGAATTGCCCTCCCGAGTCGGAATCGTGATCTCTACCTGGAGTGCGATCGATCTCATACCATGAAGTTTCGAAACGATCATCGATTTAAGTAATTTATGTATGAAAATATTTAAGCATTCACTAACGTAGTTAAATACCTTAAATATGTAATTAGTCGTTAGTTTGATCCCGGTCTTAATTAGTATACTTGTGAAGTGACACCTAGTTGGTGTTACTATTTGATTGGTGGCTCAGAAAATGAAATATTAGAATTCGGAGTACTTTTCGTGCTATATGGAAATTCCGATTTTCATACATTTCAATTCCTTGCTTAGTTTTCAATCGATATGTTTGTGCCTCCCAGAACAAGATACTGAGTCAATATTACTATGACATGAAAATGCATACACTTTTTAAAATTAAATTTAATGGGTTTGAAGATCAGATCAAAGAGACCTCATTTGTGGCATATTATATTTGGTTGTCTATTTTCCCCCTTAAATGTGAGCCAAAGCCAACCATTCCGTTTTCTTTTGAGTCGCCAATGATACGTCTTCTGCTTAATGTGCGAAGAAACGGACGGTGGTGCATCTCTTTCCATGAACAATTGCCTAATCGTGAATCTGTTCGTATAATGACCAAACCTACCGCAGTGGCAAGCCGATGCCGAGACACATGTCTCAAGCAAACTCTAGTTACGATGGATTGGGAACGTGTTGCTTCTCTGCTGATTCTACTCAGAGAAAGTAAAGTTAAAGATTATTTAGTATGCAAATAGAGAATGAGGTCTGTGTGCCAAGGTGTGAGAGCTGTGATTGCCTCGGGAGGAGCATCTACCAATTGGCAAGGGCTGCTTCTTAACATTTATTGCTACGTACACACTACTATTGGTCGTCGCGGCACATCTTTTATTGTTGGCATGAAATCATGATTTCCATTCGATGTATTTTCTGTACTTACATAAATTACTTGATACTTCTGAAGATTGGCATTATGCAGAAGAATCAGAATAAATGTTACACACTTCTTGGGCATGTTGGAGAAATTTTTTTATAAAATGTAATAATATATAGTAGTTTTAAAACTGTCATTAAATAGTTGTGTAAAGTGAAATTTTCATCTTCAAAATGGAATTCACAGTACTCCTGCACATAGGTGAGCAAGTCAAAGCAAATAGCTTGCAAAAGGTAAACGTTATCCTAATTTGTATCATGTTAATGCATATGCCGTTTTGGTCGTGCTCATCAACTATCTACGTACACTCTCTTCCGATTTCACCGTCATTTGCATTTATTGCCAGGATTTGAAGCAAACGGAGCTGTGTTGCGTTACAAAAAGTGGTGTGTACGGAGTACAATACTGCGTGGTAAAATGGCTGAGAGCCTGCTGCATTTCTAACCCCTGCAATGTGCTTGCTTATGTGTTCGCTGAGTTGTTCCTTTGTGTCCACTTTGATATCGACCCTGGCCAGTCTTGCCTCGAGACGCCGTACGTGGCGGTATCTCTGTTGCCCGGGGACATTCCGCTTTATGTGATCGCGACTGTCTTGTGTTTGGTGGAGTGGCGTGACATATTGTTTTTGTGCGTGACACTGTAGGCAATGCTTTGCGATGTTTTGAACGTTGGAATGTTCAGTCTAATCATGAGTTTTGTGCTTGCAATTGTAAAGTATGCGTTTTTTTATTTGAATCCGTATGTTCATATATTGTCTGCATGTACTAATTGTAATTTTTTTCTTGGTCGTGCATATTCATTAGTTTCTTTTGTATGGTATGTTCAGTTATAACACAATTGTTTATCGAACGATGGTAAAGCTAATGTACGTTTCAGAGTCGAAGAACTTGCCGTTGCGTGTGTTATACTTTTGCTTGCTGATCTAACACTTAGCTGTAATTCACCGAAGAAATTAACATCTTGTGTGCTAGTCGCATGCGCATAGATTTTCTTCTATTTAACCAATTTTGTATCCGTTTGTCGTGGATATTAGTTTGTATATCTAACAAATGTGGGCAGTAAAACGTCTTTGGAGTTGATTTCACTGCAACCATTACCTGGAACTGGAAATGACATCTTTTTCCATTTCTTAGCGCAAGGCAACATTTAAAAACGTTTCGGACACACAAAAATCCAAATGTGAAATTTGGAATCCTTATTCATTGCTCATTGCATTGTAGTGTATAAAAGAGTGATGTTGTTGAATACCCCTTATTCAGGGGATATTAGTACTTTTTATCGAGAAAGTGATGGAATCAATTCTGAAAGATGTTCATTCCTTCTTGCCTTCTTAATGGGTGATTTCATGTTTCAATCATAGTTCTCGATTTACGTCCTGACACTCCTGTCTAATTTCAGATAACTATATTGCAATTTAATATACTTCAAGTATTTGCTAAATAAAGACTAATTTTCTCAATTATGTAGTTTTATCAGTCAAAAAGTGAATTAATACCCATGTCCTTTTTATATAAATTATAGTAGTACATTAGATTCGCAAAATGGGGATTTTCCAGCCATGAAAATTGATCAGGTTTATGAATATAAGACATAGTCGACGTCAATTCATTTTTTACTGCAAAGATGCTCTTTGATCAAATTCGTATGTTAATACATAGTTCTGATATTCATGGTGTAGCTATACTATACAGTATAGCATTCAGATTCGATAGGTTCTCGATAGTCTAGTTCATATTGTCATCAACAATGTTCAAAGAAAACTTCAGGGTGATTCTGTGAACGGCAAAATGCGAGTATGTGCTAGTGTTGATAAGGTTGAACATGCTACAGGCATGCATTCAGGGAATGGTTGCATGCCTAGAACATACATTTTTTTTGGTTGGGGCTTTCCATTTTACCCACAATATCTCTCAGTCAACGCAACGAACCTACGCACATGAAGGAATGAACCTATGCGCACATGGACCAAAGACCATAGACGCGAACGAATCTACACGCACATCCACACACCAGGCAACGCTCTATTCTTGGGAATGTTTCGAATCAAGGATCTTTCTCCGATACGGGGAAATTTGTCCACTCCTGCAACACTACCACAACTGGGCCTTGTAAACGAAAGTCTCTTGGAGATAGAGGCACGTACTCGGATTTTGCCGTCGGTCCAAAGATCTCGCGCTAGCCCAGCGCAGAGCGCAGCCGCCTACATCGGCCGCCCTGGCGGCGCTCTCTTTCTTTCGCAGGCGCGGCGTGGTGGACGATGGCGTCTCACCTGGCGGCGCAGGACTATCTGGCGCGGCTGCAGGCCGTGGCCGGAGCGTCGGCGGCCGGCACGCTGCCCTTCGGCGGGCTGGGCCCGTGCCCGGGAGCAGTCCGACGGCTCAGCGCCTACCTACCCGCTGCTGTCTGGCAGGCAGGCGCCGCGCCGCCCCCGCCGCACACGCCCCCGGCACTCGCGCCGGGGCCACGAGCGCCGCAGCTGTCGTCGCACTCGGCGCCGCGGCCGCAGGCCGCTCCGCCGCCTGCGGCCTGCCCCCGCAACACGTCCGTTCCACACTCGTCGGCCGCGCACTCGGGGCGCGCCAAACTCGCCGGCGCCTAGTCGCACGCGGCCGCCTGCGCGCACCCGCGGCCACCCGGCGCATCCCGCCCAGCGTGTGAGTCCCCACCACTCACGACCGGAGCGGGCAATGTGCCCCACGCCCCGAATAGTTTGCCTTTCAAAAGACAAAAAAAATGTATTATATTTCTAATCCCATTAATGTGTTAACGCTAAGGAATTATATCTGGTTGCATGCAGAATTTTAAATTTAACTCTGGCGTTGTTCTCGGTTCTTTTGCGGCCTTTTCTATTCACTACACTTTCTCTGTCTAATTTTCCATGGGTGATGGTCTGCCCGACTTCTTCTTACGTGGTATCCATTTATATGAAGTTATAAGGCCGATCTCTTTCCTGGCCATTCTCTGCCGAGTCCATACATTAAGCTGTTTTCGTTCTATAGTATCTATTATAAACCTTTGTGAATCAGTTTCTTCGTGCGCCTTGGTCACCTCTTGCTTCACCCTTGGAAGGATGCCTCTTGGGGACTTCTGTGGTTGTGAGGCACGACTTACGCTTACGCCACCGCGGCGGAGCAAGTTCACGCTGCGCTTTGCCTCGGCGCTTTAGTGCCCGCAACCTTCTGCCTTGCAGCACGGCGCCACCCTTCTTCTTCGTCGGCTTTCGCAGCGGCGCTGGACGCTCTTGCCGGCTTCTCGCCGCTTCTCAGGCTTCCGCATAGCCGCAGGCTTAACGAACACCTTCGTGCCTAGCAAACACAGGAGATAGGTTAGAGTTTGGAAAAAATAACAACAATAACTATAAAATATTAAAAAAAAAAAAAAAAGAAATGTAAAATAAAAGAAAAAAAAAGGCACCTTGTCTGTCAACCGTTCTGACGGCCGACTTCAATATTTAATGAAGCAGCGGTTTTCGGATCCACTTATGAATTCGCCCAACGTGCTTGAGGCGGGCAGAGAAACTGCCGCTTCTTTTCAGGGTGGATCCGGGAACCATCCGACGCGGGCGGTGACTCGCGCGACCGATAGAAAACCGAAAACCACAAACTGATGTACAGAAACGAAGGCTGAGAAATGACTTCTGTATATCAGTAGGGAGGAGGAGGGAAGGCTTGTCGTTTCAAATGGGGCTTCGTTAATCAACTGCCCCAGACCTCTGATTTTCTCTGGGTGCCCCCGCCCCCGTGCATCTCGTACTTGCTGGAAGAAGAGAATGGTCAAGGTGTTCCTCATTGCTCTTGTTAGAATTTTCATTTTTTTTTCGTATATGCGGGCATTACAATACCCGCCTTTCAATGATTAAACATTTAATAACTTCTGTAATGTTAATTTCACTCTTGCAGTGAAAGTATTCTTCATAAATAATAAGATGCATTTTTTTCTTGCCTTATTTTCCCAATAATCTATCTCATATACTGTATCTCCTCTGATTTAATATGTACAGTCCATTCCGAAGTTGTCACTACTTCTCTTTTTAATACTTTATTAACAAAATTGAAATTGAGATAATTTATGGCACGTATTCAGTGAGGCATATGCTCTCGAGCGCCGAGTCAATTAAGCCGCTTGCGTTATCCGTCTGAGACTTACTCGTCCCCTTCCTCGCCATTCTGCGACCTACTCACGCGAAATGCATTTGCGCGGTCTACCCGAGACAGCCAAGCAGCTACTGTTATGGCACTAGCTTAAATCTGGCGGTCCGGCGGCGTAGTACATGAATGTTGCACAATGTTTGTGGTGCTAGGCAAGTTCATGTTAAAAATTATTTTTTAAGTGTGTTAGTTCGTATGATCCCCAGAAAAGAAACGTGCGTAAAAAAACTATGACAGTATACTTTTTTTAATTTTTTTTAAATCGTTATTTATTAGTATGTTTGACTATTCGTCAGTGTAATAATAAACAAACATCAATATAATGAATCATGACATAAGTATTCACGTTGAACCCATAAGAGGAGATTGTGCCAGCAGTTGGTGCTGATAAAATGTACCATGTTAATCCAGTGCCCCCCTCGCCGAATTTCTCTATGATTTCATTACAAATTAGGTTAATTTTCTTCCATCTTAGCGGCCAAGTAACGATTCATGTAGATCAGAAGAAAGTACGTAATCCAGATCGGTTCCCAATGTTCTCGTAGGTTTAATTGATTCATAAAGAAGTTTTTTTTTTTATTTCCACAATAATCATAGAGGGTCACTGGCCTAAGAATTGTATTCAATCGATTTGTCTTGCGTGAGGAGTCGACATGAATTATTCATCTCTGTTCCTCGGGCCATAAGTTTCGTTAAAATGAGTTTTAGTTACTGTTAAAAACAAGCAAAAAAAACATGAAGTCGTAGGCCTTCCGCGACAGAGTCATTTTGGTGATCTGGCTGTCGGTGACGCCGCGTCGAAGCCGCAGTTGGCGACGTTTCGACCATCCTGTCGTTGGGTCTTCCCAGGGCTGGTATGCATACGGACACCCCAGATCACCCACAGCAAAAAAACACGTTTCAGAGAAAATTCTTATTTTTTGGGGATGATTCCCCCCCCCCCCCTTCATCAGTTCTTCAGCAGGAGACCGAGCACGTTGAAAACACATTTCCTTCGCATTAGATGGACGGCAAGTGGTTCTAACGTTAGAGCGGACAGAAGGACCCATGATTACTGAATGACTGATATGTATTATTAGCTTTTTGTAAAAATTTCTAGCCTTTTAACTATAATTTACAATGTTTCATCTTTTTTCTTTCATTCAAAGGTATTGCATTTACTATTGAAAGTCTGTAATAGCACAGTCGATCACCTAATTTTGCTAATATTCTTTTATTTCTTGGTACCATTATCAACTCCTAGTAAAGAGTCTCTTAATTGAAGTTAGTAATGCTAAGCCACTTTCCGTCGATAGTTGACCAACCTGAACCAATAAACCAATCAAACACATATTCCCGAGTAGTCTGACAGGTATTTTGATTGTATCACCCTTGTTTCGAATTTTTTAATACAACTTGGGTGGTCTTTCTAACTAGAAATTTATTAAATTCAAGTAACGATAAATTTGAGCACAAGTCATCGACTTGCATTTAAATTTACGCGTCAGACCGCATGTGACGGGAATCCTGAATACAAATAGCCTTTTGCTGTATTTCATAATTTTTTATAACAATTTAATTAATTTTACAATTTGAACCGACTTATGGGAGGAAGTACCTGTATGATCAGTAAGGTATGTTTAAGCCTGCACATTTCACCGCCAGTTCGAATATAGCACTCAATCACAATTAATCACTTGAAGCATCAAATTGCTCCTAAGCTCTTTCTCTGCTCGTGCAGAATATAATTAGCAGCCCCTTTAATCTGAATAATAATTATGCCATAGAATGGTCGGATTGCATAGTTTAATTTCAGATATTGATGTGCCGAGGATGTAAGTTACATATCGTCTATATTTATTAAGCATGAAATGAAACAATATCGATATCAGCTTTGCCATTCATACCAGACTAAGGAATTCTCCAAAATATCCTACCGAATGCGCGTCCGTATTGATAAGGCATGTCACGTGAAGTTTATTTAGCATTATTGAAAGTTGATTAGTATTGTCATATTAACATTTTTAATTTGCAGAAAAGTATGCTAGTAGTTTGCAGGTGTCTAGAACAGTATTGTCTCTGTACATTTATTTGGAGTGAAATATTCGTGCTGTTTTGACTTTCGAATTGTGTTAATAGCTGGGGAAACTTGGTAATTTCATTCGACAGTCATTGACTATTGGAAATTCAATTTTAATGGATATGACTATTGCATTAACCGACCCTACCACTGTACGAGGCCTGCTGATGAGAATGCAATTCAATACCAAGCACCTAGTAATTGACGGCTAGTTCGCAGTGAATCCCAAAGTATTTTTCATACTATAGTTTGTCGCATCGTTATATTTTATCACCAGTAATAAAACGAAGTCGTGTTAAGGCAGGTTATGAATGAAAAAAAATGTAAAGGTTCAGCTCGCTTATAATACAAAACCGTTTAGCCCCTGCGATAGGCATCCTACTAAACACTACTGTATACGTGTGTTGCTTCACACTTACACTGTCAGTTAAAAGAAGTAAAGTATGGTCGGAAGAAGTAAATACTAAACGTACTTTGGGGAGGCATTTTCACAATGAAGTTTCTCCCATTTCATGGCGCAATTAATCGATCATGTCTTTATTATTATAAAAGCTTCTGGAACTTTAAAATCAATCACTTAAAACTTCCCACATCACAAATGCATTTCGATAGAAATTAAAAGTGATTTGCCTTTTAAAATATTTTACATAAAAATATTCTGATGCCGTGCACACTAGTCACTGACTCGTGATACTCGACCGGCTTTGGTGAAACATTCTTGGCGTCTTTGACTGTCATTCGCATACACCATACATGTCGTGGCTATGCTTCCGACAGATGAGATTCTCGTTGCCACAGGCAAGCCACGCGCTATCATATTCGTATCTATTTTGGTCGAAGTGTTTTTCAATCTTGTGCTGCCCCAAGTCCTTCATAATTATGAACAATTACGCTTATAGTATAAGATAAGCCGCACCTTTCACCAAAAAAACGAGAGTACATTTAAAGAGCGGGCGGCTGTAGCTAGTGTGACTTTTCGTGTATTTTGCCCTAAGCCCATTCATAATTGATTGCACAGCATTCCATTAATCTGTAACCGAGGCAAGGCCACATCCATTCGGGCTTGTCCTCTGGCGCTCGTGTGCTCTGCCTCACGTGCTTACTTCTTTCCCCAGCAGGTTTAACCCCGCGGCGCAACGCGCGGGTCAA